AAAAAAGAGAATGAACATTACTTTGAGTCATCCATTCCAAGAGAACAGCCTTTGGTGAAACTTTGCTCTTCTGCGATTAGTACCACGATCCCATTGCATTCCTTATCTAGGAACAACTCAAGAGTGTACCTAACATATTCTTGTCTAGAATTACCTCATCTTAGTCCATATTATCTTTAACACAATCTTAATGCCCTGGTAGCTGCTGAGACCATATAATATTTCATAGGCAAATGATGATATACATCACTGGAAAAATAAATAATATGTCTGGAAAAAACATGATAAGCAAAGTCCTACATATTACTCAAAAAAGTATGTAGTAAAGTACATGGACATGGACAAAGCCATTCACAAAAACTGTCTGTGATGGAAACTCATATTCCTGGAAGCGGAGTGGGACCTGCCACTATTCTTCTACTCGAGCGTTTAACCCCATGCTCCCGTGATTGCCATTTGCACCTTCCCTCTGGGTAAAAATTTTATTCACCTTAAACTACATTTTAGAGAGAATGAGAGTAGCTGAGAAATCAACCAGAAATGTAACTATTACCACTAGGACGCCATTTGTGATGAGATTTTCTGGCTGGTCCAAGCTGAGAGGGGGAAAGCACTTTTCACAACTAGTTCAATGTAATACAAATGTATGCACAATTCTTATTTTGCTTTTTGGTGAAGTGAGACGTTGTTTTCCATTTCAATAACTTTTTACAATGTTAACATAAAAATCATTCCATAATGAGTTATGTTCTCATGTAAGTGGAATTTGGGAGCCTTGCTATTTTAGGGATATAAATCTATCAGGTTAGCCCTGGCCTTCCTAATGCCACTCCCTGTTCTGCTCAACAACATAGATTGAATTTAGCTGATATTTTGTGAAATAATGCAATCAAAGGCAACCAGTTTAGAAAGAGATGCAGAAGAAAGGATCTTTCTTACAGCAGACTGACTGGGTCATAGGCAATGGGCCTAATTCTTCAGGCACCGCAGATGAACAACTCCTACTGGCCTTCATAAGTTATATGATGCTTATATGCTGGAAAATCAGGGGCCAAAGAGGGGGCCTCAGGAAGGCACCCACCAGCAAAACCAAAAGTCAGTGCCTATGCGCTAAAGTCCTAGATGGCCTTGAATTTACTAGCATATTTACCTGTAGAGGAAAGAATTATAGCCCATGTTTTCAGAAGTAAATAGTGAGTCTGGATGCCTAACTTGAAATAACTCAGGACCTAATTTTCAGATAGGGTTGCCAACTTTCCAATTTCTTAAAACCAGACAATCCAGCCGCCCTCTCTCCTACTCACTCGCTCCCCCTTTCCCCCAGGACTCACCTGCCACCTGCAGAGCTGGGCTGGGAGCTGAAGCGGAGCCTGCCTACGAGATGCAGGTAGGAGTCAGCTCTGACTGAGAAGGGGCTAGCGTGGGTTGATGTCCCGGTGCCCCCTGTCCCCACACCCTGGAACAGGCTGGTGGTGGTGTTTGCAGGCAGCCATCAAGGGGAGGATGGGAGATGTTGTCAATCTGTCTGACTGAACCAGGCCAGACTGGGAGAAATGCCCTTTCCTCCTGTTTCTGCAGTGGGGGGAGGGGGGACAGAACCGAGGAACAGAGAGGAGGGTGGAAAACAGGATGCAATCCAAACACAATCCAGCGGCGTGGATTGGCACCCTCCTGGCTCACAGCCATGCTGCCCCCAGCTCTCTTCAAGTGCCCTGCTGCGGTCACACACACCCCACCCCCACCCCCGGTTCTGGCACCCCTGCAGGCAGTAATCAGACTTTAGGTGTCTGGTCAGTACTTCTAACCGGACAGTGTACAGGTCCCCTTTCGACCAAACTTTCCGGTCAAAAACCAGACACCTGGCAACCCTATTTTCAGAGGATGCATGCTCAGCATTTTGGTCCTGATTCAGGAAAACACTTGAGCCACACGCTTAACAATCCCTACCCAGGAAAGGACTTTAGTAAATATGTCTGGCCTGTTGACATCAATCAAGGCCCTTTAAAATGTCTCAAGTTGAGCACCCAAAATCTCTGGTCACTTTTGAAAATCTGGGCCTACATATCCGGAAGGAACTCTCTTGCTCTGCAGAAGCGGAGATGATTTGTTTTCTGTTGATTCTTTGCTGGAAATGAAGAAGGTGATATTTGAGGCAAAGGATACAATTGATCCTTACTCACCAGTGCGTAGGTGCACTAGCAAAACAGTTTAAGGGCTCTGAATTTTAAGTTCCATCATCAGAACACACAATGAAGAGTAGGGATTTGTTTTTCTTATTTTGAGGGGAAATGTATTTACAGTTTCATAGTAAATACTCCTACCTCACATGCAGAACCTGCAAGGTAAGCTGTATCACCCCAGGAACACAAAGACAGGAAAGCGAATGCAAGTAACATGCATCTGGGAGAGTGTCATTGCTTCTGTAGAATTAGGATAATTGTTTTGAACAAACTAAATAATGTATTTGTTAATTCAATGATCTGACATGCTATCTTAAATGACAGTGCCTAACTCATAAACATCAAAAAGGATACAGGTTATAAGACTATTTCTCTCCAGTCACTTAACTCCTATAGACAAAATATAGTTACCACCTTCTGAACATGAACTGCAGATTAAGGAGATCCTATTATAGCCAACAATGTGAGAGAAGAGACATACTGTGCATATTACTGGAATGAATGGCATCTAGTCTATGTTTTATCACATTCTTATGTCCTAAACCAGAGTAAAGTATCATGGAATCTGATGAATTATAAAGGGGTGCCAGTTAGAAGAAGCCAGAAGGTATGCCACGCTTTGTATACGCTGTATAGCGCACTCTGTACAATAAGGTTACACTGCTTCTCACACATTGATACACCTATCATCTACCTCACTAGAATCAGATGGAAGACCTGCTTCATTCTACGCAAATACTATGTGAATATTTGTTTAATTCAATACACAGAGTGTATTTGCTTCCTTAATCTTAGTTATGTATTTGAATGGGAAGGAAAATAAATTTAATTAGATACCCCCATTAACTTAATTATATTTCTGCCTCAAAATAGTATACCTACAGTAGTTACCGGTAACACCAAAAGGTAGTAAAAAATGAAGGAAGTTAGTGAAGAAAATATTTCTCTGATTTTTAGTGTACTGTGGGTGTCTGACAGCACGGTATGCACATGCACTGCTATTATAGCAGTGTCAGTCCCAGGATTTTAGAGAGACAAGGTGGGTGAGGTAATATCTTTTATTGGACCCAGCTTCTGGTGGTGAGAGAGACACACTTTCAAGCTACACAGAGCTCTTCCTCAGGTCTAGGAAAGGTACAGCTAAATACAAGATTGAACAGATAGTTTAACATAAGTAGTTAGCACATATTCTAAGGAATCATTCAATGTGAAGTGGCCTGTTAACAACCCTGTAGTCATAGGACAAAAAGTGGAGTTAGAGGGTTACAATGTGTAAGCCATAAAATCCAATGTCTTTATTAAGACCATGATTTTTAGTGTTTTAGGCTCATCTTTTGAAAGTGTTGTGAAGGTTTCCTTTGAGGATGAGGACTGATATCTCAGCTATACAGTGATCACTTTGTGAAAAGTGGTCACCCACAGGCTATATGATGTTTTTTGTCTTGTATCATTTTCCTGTGTGAGTTCATTCGAGAGCATAGTGCTTGTCTGGTTTCACCCACATAGTTGTTACTGGGGCATTTAGTGCACTGGATGAGGTACACTAAGGCCTGGTCTACACTGGGGAGGGCGGGAGGGAGGAATTGATCTAAGTTACGCAACTTCAGCTATGTGAATAACGTAGCTGAAGTTGACGTACTGAGATCTACTTACTGCGGTGTCTTCACTGCAGTAGGTCGACTGCTGATGCTCCCCCGTCGACTCTGCCTATGCTTCTCGCTCAGGTGGAGTACTGGAGTTGATGGGAGTGTGCTCAGCGGTCGATTTATCGCGTCTTCACTAGACGCAATAAATCGACCCCCACTGGATCGATCGCTCCGGAGGTAAGTGTAGACATGCCCTAGATGTTGTGATAAGCATGTCTAGGACCCATGGATCTTGAAAGGTGTGTTGTGGGAGGTGTGTGTATTACAGTCAGTTTCACTGTTTCTCCTGCACAGTCAATTTCTCCCTGGCTGAAAATAACCTTTGTAAACATCAAAGAAACAGAAAACCCTTAGTAATTTATTCAATTTTTTAAGCAAAAGCTAGACATCCTATTTAAAAGGTGCCCTATTAGAAACTGGATTTTTTTTAAATAGTTATAAAATTATAGTTGACAGCATCCTTTTAAGGCAGGGCCACCTGAGTTCAACTAGGGAATTGCAATACAATTAAGTGAATACATGTATTGTAAGTTAGGATGGAAGTCACACAAGAGAAAGAAAGAGTTTGAGTGACACTGATACTGGGCATTCTGGTTGGCTGACACAAATGTCATCTTGTGCTGGACAAGGATCCCTGGTTTTCAAATGGTTAATATGCTTTGTGTTACTGAACCACATTCCCCTGTCACTGTATTACTTCTAAGGCTACATCACAACCAAGTTACATTTGTTGTTCTCTCACTTCTTTTAGGAAGCAATGACAATAATTGCTGATGCCCAGAGGCGCCTGCTGTGATATTAGAGCAGACTGCTGCTATCCACCAACTCACTAGTGCACATGGACCACCTATAAGACCAGCCTCACCAAAGTAAATCCTATGTATTATTTTGATACACACACATTTGTGCACGTGGATCTCAGATGGCCACATCCCTTACATATTTATTTAATTGAGGAAAATTAAAGTACACTGTATGCAAATATATAGTTTTTAATCAATTAGAACTTAATTACTTTTAATTAAGTATTTTAATATTTTATTAAGCCACATTTCTCAGTGGAAGCAATAGAGATGCAAATTTTTACATTTTAAAACAAAAACTGGTTTTAAGTTACAAGTACCCAACTGCAAAAAAAAAAAAAAAAGGACAGCTGGTATCTTTGTCTGTTAGCATTAAAAACTTTTTTGCATTCAGACAATACAAAAGCAGCTCGGATTTACTTAAGTTTTCCACAACAACAATAATCACCTTCAGCCTGAAGACAAATATGCCAAATTTTATCCCACAAGGAACATTTTTGAGAAAGATGCAAGCTACTGAAGATCTGCTCTTAGAATGGAATGGCTATTTCAAACTTAACCACAGCTTTGCTTCTGGACTGCTATTGTTAACCAACTCTGTCTGTTTGCCTTTGTATTCAGAACACTCAGGGGATAATCATTTGTACAAATTACTAGGTTTAGTGATCTCAAAATAATGAGATGAGATTAAATGAATTTAGATTAAAGAGGGGCCAGAACTGTGGAGTATGGATCCAGAATTTACCCAAACTCAGATATTTTCTGATTCTGGCGCATCTCCAATTGAGAACACTTATCTGTAATTATGCTTTCTGGAGACAGGAAAAGCAGGTGAAATAACTACATTTTTTACCACTCACTAAAACATATGTTTTCAAAGGAAAACTCTAAAGCTAAACAATGCAGAGCACTGAAGAAAGCTCATGCCCTTTTCTTGTGCAAATACACACACCCTTATTATCAACCCTAGGCACTTCTTGATGCCACCCTGACAGTACTGAATATGGAGCAAAACCCTCTTTTCCCCGAAGAATAGGCATCCTGGGGATTAGTTTACCAGCATTACATATTTATCAATGGAAAAGCATCACTGGCTTAATCCCATTGATTCACACATTGCACAGGAACACAAGAGCTCAGTAAGAACATACAGACATGCTCATACAAAAATATTTTAATGCTATTATTAAAGCTCCACTCACACACTTCACCCAGAAGTGAAGTCTAGCTGAGACATTCTGTATTTGGAGAAGCTACGAAACATAGTTGAGTTATCAGCTGTGTTGGTCATTTGCAGATACCTTAGCCCTTTGGTGTTCCTGTCTGAAGCTTTCATGTATTCAGTGTCCTGCAACCAGTCAATAGCCTAATTACAAGGCTGCATCTTATTTCCTTTTGGCATTCTTGAGCACCCTTCTTTTCATGCCCAAAGTAAGGGCTTTTAAAATAGCTTCCTTGTTGTTCATAATATTGTAGCGGCTTAATTCCAGCAGCCTATCAAATTCATTGGGTTGATATGTGAAGTTCATAGAATGGTAAGGAGATTTTTCTCCTTCAACAGGGAAATTGCCAAAGGATTTCTCATCTTCTGTCTCACGCTCGACTCCTGCAGACAGAAAATCAGACAATAACAGTCTTCACAGATCCCCTTAACAAGATGCTCCCATGTTTGTGCAGGAGCAGAAGGAGGTACTACCATCATGGTTTATCATAAACCTGCCCACAAGTTGATGATAGATAGATAGATAGATAGATAGATAGATAGATAGATAGATAGATAGATAGATAATTGGCTCCACCAACTCTGCAGAAGGCTCTTTTGTCCTGTCACTGGGTGCAAGCAAGGTTCCTGACAAGGTGAAAATAGGTGTATGTTTGAAGCACTTTAACCACATAGGATTTTCAAGCCCTATACGTGGTTCCTATCTCACAGGCAGTGTGAATGGTTTTAATTCAGAACTTTTTCAGCTACAGAGGGGAACCCAGAGTCCCTTATCCCCAGTACTCCTCAGCTTTGCATTCAGACCTTTGGACAATACAATTCCATATGCCAATGTTGTTACGGTTCATAAAACCAAACACCACAGAGCCCATTGCCATTATCCTAATACAAAATTTCAGCTTAAACTCAGACTACAACATTTTAAAAATGAGGCCAAAGCTATGACAGAAGCCCCAACCCCGAGGAACCCAGAATCTCTGGTAATGGAGTAAAGAGGGCTTCTGAAAACTGAACTAACGGTACACCTGAACGAATATACTCTATATGACAAAAACTACTTTGGAATATTTGAATACATTAAAACAGTTTTAAACAGATGGTCTGTTCCACCACTGACTGGCAGCTAGAGTAAGGAACACCCAACCTTTATATTTCTGCATTTAATATTATAAATATTTAATCACTTTAAGTAGCACATTAATCATATTTTCTTGCGATACTGAAGATGGATATTCTGGTGGCTGATGTCCAATATATATTTACTGCTCCAAATGATTCTTCTTGTAGGGCAGGTTTACACTACAAATTTGGAGCTGCGCTGCTGTAGCGTGTCTGGTGAAGATGCTGTAAGCCGACTGGATGGAGGTCTTCCACCTCTATGAGCTATGTCGGTGGGAGAAGCTCTTCTGCCCACATAGCACAGTCTACACCGGGGTTAAGGTCGGTTTAACTACATCACCCAGGGATGTGGATTTCTCACACCCCTGAGTGACGTAGTTATGCTGCAGTAAGCATGTAGTGTAGACCAAGTCTTAGGTTCTTAGGGTTCAACGTTGTAAGGTGCTAAGTAACCCATGACTATGGGGCTAAAAATGCTCAGCACCATGTATAATTGAACCTCGCCTACACACTTCCTTACCTGGTGCCTTGTATTTCTGGAATGTGTTGTTCACCAATGGAAAGTGAAGCACTATCGGAACTTTAGGATTGCGATCATCCACGAACATATAACACTCCTTGGGCTTCTGCTTATCTGTTTCACTCACAACAATGTGTGGAAAGGGGATTTCCCGTTCTTCACAATACTTCTGGGCCTGATGCAGCACCTGAACTCAGAAGACAACAAGTAAAGTTATTTTCTTTACTAGATGAGATCTAAAAATCAGGTGGTGCCAGATATTCAAAAGTGCTCAGCTCCCATTTAGGCATCTAAATAAAGATGAGATTTTTCAAGTGCACAGCACTCTGAAGTTCCCATTCTGACCTCATGGCCAGATTTACAGAAGAGCTCAAAAGAGTATATGTCTACATAGTGCTTTAACACAGTGGGGCTTCAACCTCAGCCTCCAGGTACTATTGTAATATAAATGTTATCATCAATGATAACAATGTAGTTGTCTGATTTGGCTATTGTTCTCTCTAACCACTAAAAAATGCCCCCCTCCGAAAGCCAGGGACAGAACCCAGGATTCCAGTCTCCAATATTCTATTGCTGTCTAGCCAACAGCTGGGCAACCCACTGGCAAAGTGTGCGTCGTGTCGCGTCCCCCTGTAGTGACTGCTCCATACAGAGAAGAGCAATTATTCTTGTAACTCAAGTAAAGGCTTGTGCTGGGAATGTGAAAATCCAGAGTTCAAACTCTGCTGATGATCCATAAGGCAGAGGATTTTTTTTTTACTGCAAGCAATAGAATTAATTTTTTCCAGTTTTCTTTTTTTTTAATTGGTTTATTTAAGTAACACGGCGAGAAAACATCCTTCAAACATGCTTTATATATATTTTTTAAATCTGTATATTATGGTGTGCCACATTTTGGTCATTTATCACACATTTTGATTGTTGGTGTCACACACTGGCAGTTTGTGGGATGAGAAATTTGCTTTGAAACTTCTCTTCCTTGTGTTTTTAAATCTATGTCAAGGGCCCTCAGAGCCCGGAATGTGCAGTGTCATGTCGAATTTCTAAATATACATAATGTTCATTTAACATGGCATTTTTAAGTATAGAAAAAATGATTCATCTCATATGGAAATGGTTATTTTTAGACTGATATTTGTCTATCAGGAACTGGACTGAGACCATCAATTTATTTCAGGTAAATCACTAAGCAGCCATCAGTTGGAAATCTACCAAATTGATCTTGGATTCAAACCAATTACTACAGGCTCATTGATTTTTAAAGCCAGAAGGGATAAATATGATTATCTAATCTGGTCTCCTGCATAACATGCCACAAAATTTCACCCAGTAATTTCTGCAGCAAGCCCCAAAACTTGATGAAAGGTCGTATAATGCATTATACCCAGTAATAATTCTCTCAGGCATTGAGATATGTCTAAATAGGGCATTTGTCCATTCTGATTTCATCCATGATGTCCTGGTCAGCACGCACATGTGTTTGCCTAATTCTACTCCTTTTTGTCTCTCACCTCAAATGGAGCTTCCCAAGAGTAGTTGAATGACAAGATGACATCTACATCTCTCTCTGGCTGAAGCACCAAAGGAAAGGGAGAATTGATAGAGAAAACCCCATCTATCAAGTACAGGCTGTGTTCCATTGGAGTTAGCTGGTTGGGAAAGGCATCCTGGTGAGTGCCTGAAAGACCCCAAAATCATACTGGTCACTGAAGTACACAAAACACATCAATCTAATTTCAGAGAAAAGGTGAAAATCATCTGGGACCCTAAGGAGAAATGTTTAAATACCCTGGAATTACATTAACTGTACTCCCACACCCCAACACCCAGACACCACCAAATCAAACTAAGTTACCTCCACCCTGGACTCTCAGCAAAACAAGACAAATCAAAAAAGATCTATATCTGAGCACCACAGAAAAGCTGATAAGCAAACACCACCACAGGAACCAAGCATCTCATGTGCATTAACTAATCTGTCCTCACAACATCCCTTTAAGGTAGGGAAGAGAGATTAAGTGACTTGCCCACAGAGAGTCAGTAGCAGAACTCAAAACAGAACCCAGAGCTCTCTAATTCCTGATCCAGTACCCGAAGCACAAGCCCATCCTTCCTTCTGGGACAGATAACTTTCATATATGGCAATTTCCAATACAGTCAAAAGGGATTTGGGATGTTTTTGCTCTGAATTATATAAGCCCAAGTCTGCTGTCATATATACAAGTACAACCCTGTCATTGCGGTTGTCTGTTTGTAAATGAAGACTGCATTTGGCCAACAGCATTTCCATTGGTGGTGTAGGTGACTTTACTCAAGGAGATCTGGTTTACACAAACCCCAGTGGCAGCAGACACAACATGTTTTAACTTGTTTAAGACAGCAACTGCATTTTGACCAGCCTTCTATACTGCCAATTGAATGGTTTGCTCAGAGCAGCATCTTGCCCATTTTATAAGCTTTACAGCGGTATGTACTTAGATGACACATACTTGCACTGTCACTGCCCGGTCATCTTTCTCTTCCTAACTGTCCCCAATTCCTCTGACACACAGCCTGGTTTCTCTCACACAGAATCTTGTTACCCACCTTTCCAGGCCACAAACTCTTTGGCATTGACGTAGTCCCTGTGAAGGTACAGTCCACGCATGAAGTTAATGTTTTCCCCAGCAGAGAAGCGAGACTTAAATAAATCTTGAAATAAATGTGAGAAAGCTCCACCTGGCATGACCATTCGCTTTTCTAACTGTAAAGGGTCCAGAGTCTGGCGTCCACGAGCCTCATCTGCAAAAAGAAACAAACAAACAAACCAGAATTCAGATCTCTTCATCCAAGCTCAAATTTCACTATTCCCTGAGCATTTTACCCTGAGTTCAAGACACCAGCCATTTTATACTGACATTTCCCCCTACAACAGCTGGGATTTTAAACACAACTGCTACTGTCTTTAGCAGGACTCATGTAGCTAACACCTCAAGCAATATTTTTTAAATGACAGGTATTATTAAGCCCCCACCTACAATAGAATGTTGAGAAAACAATTAAGACAGTTGTCTCCAACCTTGTATACTAGAGTTAAAATCTCTAGTATAGGTGGGGCCTACCCATGTCCCCACTTTGGACAGTGCATGGTTTTCACCTGGCTAAGTGGACACAGATAAGTACTATTTAAACTACAAACTTCACACATATTGCAAGTGCTTCAGGGGACAACTGTGATATTGCCAAATCCTCTGACTCCATAATAGTTGTAGTGTAAATAAATCCAGAATCTGATGCTGTCGTGAAGTTTCAAAAAGTTGTGGTGCTGCCTATTTGCTCTTTTTCTTCATTATATTGGTAAGGAGAACCTGTATTATCTCTTGTATTACAAACTATTATCCTTTCTTATCTCCTCTGTCAGTCCCACACAATGTTCCCATTATCTAAACCAGGGGTCTCAAACATGCGGCCCTGCCAAACAGCTGTTTGGTGGCACTTAGGACTTTCCAGGAGGGAAGGGGGAGGAGCAGGGATGCAGCACGCTCAGGGGAGGAGGTGGAGAAGAGGCAGGGCCAGGGCAGGGATTTGGAGAAGGGGTTGGAATATGGGCAGGGAGGGGGCGGGGACTTTGGGGAAGGGGTTGGAATGGGGGTGGGGAAGGGGTGGGAAGAGGCAGAGCAGGGGTGGGGTCTCATGGAAGGGGTGGAGTGGGGGTGGGGCCGAGGGCGGGCTTTTGTATCTTTGTATGAAAAGGTTTCAGTGATGTGGCCCTCAGGCCAATGTACTAGTCCTCATGTGGCCCTCGTGGCAATTTGAGTTTGAGATCCCTGATCTAAACTAAATGGGCTACCAGTAGGCAGTGCTGTTAAGACCCTCCTAAATTATCTTCTTTTATGTTGTGAGAAGGGGTTACTTCCTTGAATGGAGGAGATGTTTTCAAGGCCCTTTCATATGACTAAGAAAAGCCCAGTCTCTGTCTATCCTTTACCTATAGCTTTGATGGCATCTTTCAGAGATTCTAGAAAGCCAACTTTTGAAGAAATGACCTCTTCCCAGATTTCATCTAGATTAGCAGCAAAGGCACTGGCCCATATTCCTGAAAATGGACAAGGAAAGTATTAATTTAGGTCCCCCAGACTTCTCAGGCACTGAACAGCATGACCAAACTCAATTTCACCACATCAGATATGCATCATATACAGGACAAAATTGGGATAGGACAGATTATGTTTAATAAAAGTCTCGTTCAGCTAAGAACACAGAGTGTGGTTAGGTGCCTCAGGCCTTGACTACACTGGCGCTGTACAGCGCTGCAACTTGCTGCGGTCAGGGGTGTGAAAACGCCCCTCCCCCCCAAGCGCAGCGAGTGCAGCACTGTAAAGTGCCAGTGTAATCAGCGCCTGCAGCGCTGCACGCTCACTTGCAGCGCTGCAAGCTACTTCCCTCGGAGAGATGGAGTACTTACAGCGCTGCGAGAGAGCACTCACAGCGCTGGCGGCGCTGTGAATTGCCAAGTGTAGCCAAGGCCTAACAGTCTCCAGGGACAACATCGTATGCAACTGTGCAGCTGTTGATATAAGTCACTAAAAATTAAATATCTGATTATTCTTAACCCTCTCATCAATGTGCATCAAGTTACAGTTGCTATAAAGCATAATAGAGTGTTTCTAGAAGCATCAGATCTTACCCTGCAGAAAACAAATTCTGGGCTCCAGACGTTTCCCAAGTAGCAGCCCATTGAAGAATTCACTGCCAAAGTCTTCTATGCGGATAAAGGCTCCATACTTGTGGGTACCAAACTCATAGGGTGTGAACTCACACCACTCTGTGAAAGGGTTAACCAAGATAATTATCTCACAAATACACTTGAATAAATGTTTTCATCCCCACCCCATTCCTGTGAGAATGACTAAGAGCAGGGGTAGGCAACCTATGGCACTCGTGCCGAAGGTGGCACGCAAGCTGATTTTCAGTGGCACTCACACTGCCTGGGTCCTGGCCACCGAGGGGGGGGGTCTGCATTTTAATTTAATTTTAAATGAAGCTTCTTAAACATTTTAAAAACCTTATTTACTTTACATACAACAATAGTTTAGTTATAATATTGTAGATTTATAGAAAGAGACCTTCTAAAAACATTAAAATGTATTACTGGCACGCAAAACCTTAAATTAGAGTGAATAAATGAAGACTCGGCACACCACTTCTGAAAGGTTGCCGACCCCTGGCTAAGAGAATAATTCAGTTTCTTAACCCATACTAATGATGTCTATTATGCATGAATAATGCATGAATGCCATAAGGTGAAATTCTCCTACATACATCTTACGTATGGCGTGCGAGCAATATGATTGACAGGAGGTTTATTTAACAGAGATTCACGGGAATTCACTATTAAGACTTTTCACCAGCATCGCAAGCTGATATTTTTAATGGTGGCAAAAGGAGTGAAGAATGAATGTAAAGAAGTATTATCGTGCCACTAACAGGAATAATTAAGTAATGGGATTTTCAAATCAGCCAAACAAAATTTCAATCCATCATATCAGCGTTTAAAAGCATGTTGGAGACAAAAAACAAATAAACATCAAATAAAGATGTGCATATCCCCACAGAGAGATACAGCCAAAAACAAACTATGTCTTGGCATTACAATTAGGATTGCCAAGTACAATTCGAGAGAAGATGTGCTATTGAACACATCATTACACGTATTTAAAAGGCAGGGAAAGTTAGGTATACATAATGGGTGAAACCCTAGCCCCAATGGAGTCAATGGCAAATCTCTCATTGAGAGTTTAATGGGAACAGGATTTCACCCAGTACATTCAATGTAGCGAGGGTATGAAGGAGAATTTATGTTGCTGCCCACCATCATTACTATGCTGCGACAAGATTGGGAACAAGGACAAAAATAATTAAAACTGAGGGGGAAATGTAATTTACAGATTTTAGAGGGGGAAAAAAACACTTCACTTCATACCTGTAAATTCATGGCTACTGACATTGGGCTTCACATTGACAGCTGCATAGATAGGGAAGGGGTTCTGTCCCCACCTGACTGCTGACTGCTGGTCAGACAACTTCGATGGATCCTGCTGGATATGGCAGGGAAATGTCATATCACTTTGGTGTTCAGTTTTGCCTTTAAATAGAAGGTTCCTCTTGCCCTTGCAATACCATGTGACTGATCTGACCAATCACACAGCATGAATAGTGAACAACTCAGAGGAAATTCTCAAGCAAATTCTCTTTAGTTTTTCATGGGCTTTTTAAAAACCTCTTGGAGTAATTTGTCGAATTCATGATTTCATCTTTTGGTATTTCCACAATCCAGAAAACAGAAATAACGTAAGAAAAAACTAGATCTCACAGTGTTTAGTACTCATAAATGGTTCCTTTAGGCATCAAGAGAGACAATAAAAAAACATAATAGCAAATACAAAGTACTAGACACACATACCTACTGAGGAAAATACTGTGAGCCAGGGATTCTGGATTTCTAATCCTATCCATCTCTTATTCAGCATGTGGCCTTAGACAAGTAACATAACCTCTCTGTGTCAGAGCTACGCCATCCGCAAAAAGAGGTAATGCTTATCTATCTCAGAGGTGTTATAAAGATGAGTCAGCTAATGGTTGTGAAGCATTTTGAAAATACAAAATGTTATGTATTTATGATTATCATAGGATAATTACTATTACATTAGCATGGAATAGGTTTATGATTAACATAGAATAATCACATGGGGCTTTAATCACCGTTAGATATTATTTAAAGTTTTCATTTCTCTGTAAAATTCTGTTTCTCTCTGGGAGAAGTTTAAGAAGTGTTCCACAAGTCTGAAGAGATAAGTTGCCTGAGGCTTCAAACAGGTTTGTTAAACTCCTATTCTGAAGACAAATCATTCATAATCCAGGACTCTCATTACCTTCTGTTGTAAGAAATATTCTATGATAAGGCCCCACAAATCCGTGAGTGTGACCTTCCGTCCTTCTTTCTCCAACAAGACCAGCTGCTGGAAATAATACACCAGTCGTTCAGCAGAAAATGCCCCCACTTTGCTGCTGGTCACAAGTTTCCGAGCAACGCTAATTGCATCCTGGAGATCGTTGTGGGACCAGTGAGGGTCTTTGTAGAGTTTAGACAAACACCTAGTAAAACGTCCACAAAGTTTTTCAGTAAACAACAAATTATTACACAAGATGCCAAATGTCTGGAGAAAGATGGCTGCCCTCCCTACATTGTGATTTGAACAGAACTGAAAGTAACATCACTGTTTTTATTTAACAACATATTAAATTGTAGTCTATAGCACACCTTGGAATCTTCAAGGAATTTGCTTTCCTATTAAAAATTTTTATGATAGGTCACAGTTTGGGCCTCAAAACTGCATTCTCTTAAAGTCTTAATATCATATCTCTGTGCACACCCTCAGACTTTCAGTAACAACCTAATTAATTATTAGTATGAAGAAACTTTCCTAAAGCATCGATTACCATAGTCATCTAATGTCTGGGGCTTCCTATGTGCCCTCTTTTCTTTACCTCAGTATCTCAGACTACTTTAAGCACAAACATACCCCCTTTCCAGTGCCCTCCCTCTAACTTAATTCACATTATTTTTTCTTAATACCTAGACATACTTTGCACACCTTTCTACAGGCCAATTTATTTTAATGCTACATGGGCTTGTCCCTTAATTTTTCTGCTACAAGCCTGATATCACTAAAACCTCATTTCTTAGAAAGAAGACTTTCAGTGGCAAAGGGACTAAGGCCCCAGAGAGATGGATCTGACTCATTGAAACTGGAAGTAGTCTGAAATCTTTTGATAAGAATTATGTTAATGAAAATATTGCATGGATTGAAGAAAAATGCTCACTTAAAAAGGGGGGGGGGCAAAGATATTATATCTTACTTTCCTGCTTCTCCTTTTTATCATTGATTCGGGGGAGGGAGGCTACTCAGATCCCCTCTCTCCCTGTGATGTACTCCCAAAATGGAGATCAGCGGGGCACTTAAGCTGGAGCTCCCTCAAAATAAACAACAGGGAGCTGCTGATAGGGCATCCCCGGTGAGGGCCCTTGATTCTGGAATTCAATTCTCCCTACTTGGTCTGCCAGAGCCCAGATTTCTTAACCTTCTGAGCATGCTACAAATCTCACCTTTTTTCTCCTTTAGTTAAGGCTGTTGAGAGGGGGTGGACCAAGGTGGGTTTATTTATGGGCAGTCCTCTGGGTATATTTATCCTGTAATTTTTAATTTATGGGAGAGGCACCCAGAGCTTGAATGGGCATCTATTGATGAACTTTAGAAATCTGAAGGATAATTAAATAAGTAACCAGATGAATAACAGAGACTATGGAAATATATGAGCTTATCACTGAATCATCCATGTTGGTAAAAGTAAATTGTGTCAGAAGAGTATCATTCCCCAGACTATGCTGACTTGGGTTCTCAGGTCAAAGGACTATGGGGGAAAAGTTCCAGTGACATACCAGGTGGATCCTGAGATTCCACACATATACATCAGGATATCCAAGAGGTCAAGCTGCTGGAGTCCTGACAGATTGCCATAGAAAGCAGTCATGGCTCTCATCCCACCTCCTGATCCCACTACTGCCACTACAGGGATCTACAGGAATAGAAAAATGAAAGGCTATGAAAAACATGCAATTGAGTATACTCCATTACATACATATGTATTAAATTACACACACACACATACAAGGTCATTTGGTTTTAGGTTTCATTTAATGGATTTTCTCATTATAAACAAAAATAAAATATGGGAGGTAGTAAGACAGATAAGTATTCCTATGAAAGGGCTCTGTTGACATTAAAAATCTGAGCCCACTATATCCAAATCTTCTGCTCATTTAGCCTCTGTAATTTTATCCAGGAGTATGAGCAGCCATTTTGGACAGAAAACAGAGACTATTAGCAGCTCAAATAGCTTTCTCCTGTTTTTTTCTGGGTTGTTTGTCCCTGTTCTGCTACTGTAAATCCAAACTGTGACTATCTTGTATTCTGAACTGCTTTTTCAAAACCTGTGTGCTTACAATCTATTTTCCCATTAGGCTGAGGTTCACTGACAGTACAGTTATCTCCCCCTAAAACTAGTCACAAAGGACAGAGTTCTCTAAAAAGGGATTTCATACCTCATCTTTCTTGGGTTCCTCTGGCAAACCAAGTGTCTTCTTTAGGGCACGAGAAGCTATTTTCTTCCTCATGTCCAAAAATTCTCTCTCTCCTCTACAGAGGTCAAAACTGATGCGCACATCAAGATCCTGAGAGCTACTCCCACAAGCAAGAGGAGAACAAAGGAGAATAGGAATGGCAAAAAAGAGAGAGATGAACTTTCAGAGAGCCCTTATCACTTGAGACTACCTCTCTGATTTTGTATCCTGCCTCACCAGTTAAGACCAGCTGAGAAGAAATTAAATGCATTTATTTTTCATTGGTTTTCATTCATTCCTGTGTTGCATTCTTGTTTATGTTTTACTAGTATCTGATTTTAAAGAACCAAGCTGTCCAAGTGATAAGAGCCATGAAAAAAGCAGTTTGTCCCATCTCTGGAACAGTTTTCTTACTTCAGCATTCCAGACCAAACTTCACACTTCAAGACCCTCTGAAAGGCCTCACATCATCAGGACCGCCTCACAAAAATGAAGCTTCCAAACTGCTCTCTTCCATCAGATAATTAAACATTAAAAAACAAAATAAAATATTTAAAAAATTGTACCTGACAAATCTGTTCAATCACCTATACAATTTCTCAGATGATACATGTGGAGAAAAACGTTTATACAGTTAAAAACGCATAATATACACTCTTTAGATAAATCTATTACAAATCAGGGAACAGTTAGAAGCAAGACATCAGCAAAACAACTGAAGTTAGTTCTAATGTTCTTCCACTCACAAGATTATGCAGTCGCTTCACTTTTAAGCTGTATCCCTTCCCCAACCCTGCTTTCCGTTTTGCCTTTTTACACCATAAGCTCTTTGAAACAGGGCTCTGACTCCTTACATATTTGCCGAATGCCCATGCATCTCAATAGAGCGATAGAAGTATTAATATGTCTAAAAGAATTGTAACAACCTCCCAGAAAAAGGCAGATATAAAATCTGGTTAGAGGAAAGTCCTAAACATTCAGCAGATTGAAAATATTTTAAATGTGTATTAATGACATGATGTGTGGTTTATACCAGACCATGCCTTAAACAGGAATCAGCTATACTTTGAAAAAAATATAATCTACCAATAATGACATACATTGTACAGGTTGGAACTGAGTGCTAGCTCTCCTGCCCATGCTCATACATGCATTAGTTTATGGATGAGTTCACATATTACCATTTGAAGCAGCTTTCATCCAGACCACATCACACAATCCATTGTCTACAGCCAAGCTCTAAGATACAACCGCATTTGCTCCAATCTCTCAGACAGAGACAAAAACCTACAGGATCTCTATCAAGCATTCTTAAAAGTACAGTACCCAACTGCTGAAGTGAAGAAACAGATTGACAGAGCCAGAAGGGTACCCAGAAGTCACTTACTAAAGGACAGGCCCAACAAAGAAAGTAACAGAACGCCACTAGCTGTAACCTACAGCCCTCAACTAAAACCTCTCCAGTGCATCATCAAGGATCTACAACCTATCCTGAAGGACGATCCCTCACTCTCACAGACCTTGGGAAACAGGCCAGTCCTCACTTACAGACAGCCCCCCAACCTGAAGCAAATACTCACCGGCAACTACACACCACACAAAAACACTAACCCAGGAACCAATCCCTGCAACAAACCCTGTTGCCAACTCTGTCCGCATATCTATTCAAGGGACACCATCATAGGACCTAACCATATCAGCCACACCATCAGTGGCTCATTCACCTGCACATCTACCAATGTAATATATGCTATCATGTGCCACCAATGCCCTTCTGCCATGTACATTGGCCAAACCGGACAGTCTCTACACAAAAGAATAAATGGACTCAAATCAGACATCAAGAATTGTAACATTCAAAAACCAGTAGGAGAGCACTTTAATCTCCCTGGACACTCAATAACAGACTTAAAAGTGACAATTCTTCAATAAAAAAACTTCAAAAACAGACTTCAATGATAAATTGCAGAACTGGAATTAATTTGCAAACTGGACACCATCAAATTAGGCCTCAATAATGACTGGAAGTGGCTGGGTTACTACTAAAAGTAATTCTCCCTCTACTGATACTCACACCTTCTTGTCAACTGATGGAAATGGGTGACATCCACTTTGATTGCATTGCCCTCGTTAGCACTACAAAAGTAATTTTCACTCTCTTGCTAGTCACCCTTTCTTGTCAACTGTTGAGAATAGGCCACTTCCACCTTAATTGAATTGACCTCATTAGCACTGACCCCCCACTTGGTAAGGCAACTCCCACCTTTTCATGTGCTGTATATATATACTGCTTACAGTATTTTTCACTCCATGCATCTGATGAAGTGGGTTTTAGCCCACAAAAGCTTATGCACAAATACATTTGTTAGTCTCTAATGTG